AGGGGGCTAGTGAGAGGGGTAGTGGTGGCCTGGACCAGGGTGGCAGTCGAGGAATGGTGATGAGTTCAGGATGCATTTTAAAAGTAGAGTCAGCAGGACTGGCTGATGTGTTGTATGTGGAGTGTGTGTGAGAGAGAAGGAATCAGGAAGACCCCAGAGTTGGAGGTGCCATCGCCTGAGGTGGCGGAGGCTGCAGGTACGCAGGCTTGGGGGCTGCACCGTTTGACCTTCCACCAGCAGTGTCTAAGGGTGCCAGTTTCTCCTGAATGCTTGCTATCATCTGTCTTTTGATTCCAGCTGTCCAGTGGCTATGAAGCGATATCTCCTGGTGGTTTTTATTTGCATTTCCATAACGAATGATGATATTGGGCATCTTTTCATGCACACGTTGACCATTCACATATCTTCGTTGGAAAAATATCTATTTGAATTCTTTGCCCATTTTAAACATTTGAGTCATTTAACTTTTTATTATTATTGAATTGTGTTATTTTTATATTCTTGATATGAATCCCTTACCAGATTTGCAAATATTTTCTCTCATTCTGTAGGTTGTGTTCACTTTTTTTAATAGTATTTTTTGAAGCATAAAAGCTTTTAACCTTGATAAAGCCCAACTTATATATATATATTTTTTTTCCTTTTGTTAATGGTGCCTTGGGTGTCTTATCTAAGAAACCATTTCCTAACCCAAGACTATGAAGATTTACTCCTGTTTTCTTCTAAGAGTTTTATACTTCAGCTCTTAGAATATTTAGGTCACTGCTTCATTTTGAGTTAATTTTTGTGTATGGCACAAATCAAGGGTTCAGCTTCATCCTTTACATGTAAGTATATCCAATTGTCTCAGCACCATTTGTTCAGTTCTTTCAAATTGAACCCTTGGCACCTTTGTCAAAATTTAATTGACCACTAATGGAAGGGTTTATTTCTGGATTCCCAATTCTGTTCCCTTGATCTATGCCAGTTCTATCCAGACTTGTTTACTGTAGCTTTGTAGTAAGTTTTAAAATTCAAAAGTGTGGGTCCAACCTTGTTCTTTTTTCTCAAGATTATTTTGGCTATTCTGGATGCTTTGCATTCCCATATGAATTTTAGGAGTAGGTTGCCAATTTCTGTAAGAAAGGCAGCTGGGGTTTGATAGAAATTGTTGAATTTCGTCCAGCAGTGTTTTGTTGTGTTTTTTTTTTTTTAATTTATTTTTGGTTGCACTGGGTCTTGGTTGCTGTGTGCAAGTTTCTCTAGTTCTGATGAGCAGCAGTTTCTCCTGCTGTAGAGCACGAGCTCCGGGCACGCAGCCTTGAGTGGTTGCAGCCCTTGGGCTCAGTAGTCGCAGCTCTTGGGCTCTAGAGCTCGGGCTTGGTGGTTGAGATGCATGGACATAGTTGCTGCACAGCATGTGGGATCTTCCCAGACCAGGGCTCGAACCCATGTTCCCGCATTGGCAGGCAGATTCTTATCCACTGTGCCACCAGAGAAGTCCTTAGCAATGTTTTAGACATTGATGTTTTGTTCTTTTTAGAGTTCAAAGTTTGTACTCCATTTGTTAAATTTATTCCTAGGGATTTTATTATTTTTGCTGCTACTGTAAATGAAATTATTTTCTTAATTTCATTTTCAAACTATTCATTCCTAGTTTATAGAAATACAAATGGTTTTTGGTATATTGACCTTATAGCCTGCGACTTTAACTTATTAGTTCTAGTAATCTTTCAGTAGATTCCTTGGGATTTCCTATATGTGAGATCCATATCATCTACAAATACAGTTTTACTTCTTTCTTTCCAATTTGGATGGCTTTTATTTCTTTTTTTTTGTCAAATTGCCCTGGATAGAACCTTAAACATAGTATTGAATAGAAGTGGTGAGAGTGGATTTTGTCTACTTGTTCCTAATCTTGAAGGTGGAGAGCTTTCAGTCTTTACCATTAAGTATGATAATAGCTGTGGTTTTTTAGTAGATGCCCTTTATCTGGTTGAAGAAGTTCCCTTTTATTCCTAGTGTGTTGGGTGTTTTTTCATGAAGGGGTATTGAATTTTGTCAGATGTGTTTTCTGTGTCTATTCGAATGATTATATAGTTATAGTTTTTGTTCTTTTTTCTATTGATAGGAGTTATTACATTAAGTGATTTTGGGGTATTGAACCAACCTTGCATTCCTGGGATAATGTCACTTGGTCAGAGTATATAATCCTTTTTATATGTTGCTTGCTAGTATTTTGTGAGTATTCTTGCATACCATAGATGTTGTGAATATATGTATTCATAAGAGATACTGGTCTGTAGTTCTTATTCCTTGTGATGTCTTCATCTGGTTTTGGCTTTCTTTATCTTTAATGGGTCAGAGAGTGTGGAACAGGAGAGACCGATCAGCTTTTCCCCTCCCATACTCACTGCATCTGGTGGGGAAGGACAAATAGAAGCTTTGAGCCCACGTCCAGACAGGGTCGGCAAAAGTACCAATGAGATATACCAGCCTCGTCTGTAAAATGAGATGGTAAACCTAGCTGATGGCCCAGAGGCAGTGAGCTGGCCCTGCTGGCTTCTCTGTAGTATCTTCCTGTTGTGAGCCCTGCATTTCCAGGACAGAGCCTCTAAGGAAGGCCCCATATTCTGGCCTCAAAGGAGAAGGAGGGCTTATGAGGGTCAACTTTGGAGATCCCTCCTGGCTCTAAAGCTCGAAGAACTTGAATCATAATAATGAACTAAGCAGCTCACTCTCCACTGGGTGATGGGCCCCAATTCCATGGAGAAGAGGAAGGGGAAGGGCCACATCCTCGCCTCATAGCCCGCAGGGTCAGGCCCTTGTCGAGTGATGAATGCCAGGCCAACCAGTGTAAGAAAGGTCAGAGGAGGCTCTGGAAGAGCCTGCCCTGCTCTGGGTCCCCAAAGGGAAGCAGGTCCCTGGTGGTGAGCCCTGGAAAACAATGAGTCCTTTAGGAACAGAACAGAGCTGGGGTGGGCAGTGGCCCTCTGGGCCCTTCATGCACCAGCTCCAGCAGCAGAGTGGGAGGCCCTGTAAACAGGAGCCGTGGGTCCCCGGCCCTCTCTGCCCCAGCCAGGGATGGGCCGACCAGCTGGCGGAGCAGCCCTGGCGCAGATGTCTTGTTAGGGAGTTGCTGGAGTCCCTCAGTGACCTTGAGGAGGTGACTTCTTTCTCCATCTCTCAGAGTGCAGCCCAGGTACACTCATCCTGCAGCCCCTGCGTCTGGGCTCCTCCAAGGAACTGATGGCCATTCCCTCTGCAGACTCACTCTTCCCTCCTGGGATGGCTGCTGCTATTTTTGTGCCTGCAGCTCAGCACAGAGGCCCAAGGTCCCTGCAAGCAAGCCCACAGGACAGGCCAGGAAAGCAGTGAGTGGGCTGCCACTGTGCATTGCCTCTTTTGCTGACAACTCCCCTTTACCGGTCTCCCTCCAGCCCCCTCCTGCTTAGCGAGCTGGAGAGTCGGCACTCGGGAAAAGCCAGCATCTGTTAGGTAACTGGCTCAGCTGCCATGCAGGGTATGATGTAATCTTGGATCCTGTGGTTGCTAGGAAAATTCTGCCCGCAGTGATATTGCGTGGTCCGAGGAGCGAGGCGAGTACAGAATGTTCCCGAGAAGACAGGGGAAGGATTGCTAGGGCTTCCCAAGTACAGGAGCCCAGAGAAGTTGGATGATCCGAGCTCCTTTCTAGAAGCTTGTTCCCCTTGGCGGGAATAGAGGTTGTGCTGGTAGCAGCAGAACATCAAGTCAGGTGGGGTTGTGCGGCACAGTGACTCCCCTTGGCAGCGGCACCTTGGTGCTCTGGTGCCAAACTGCAGACACTTGTCTGTCATGTGACATCCTTCTGGAGGGGCCCTCCTCCTGCAGAACCAGGGTTGGGCGCCTCCTCCTCCACTCCTCCCGGCAGGACAGTTAGGAAAGAGGCAGGAGGAAGCTGTCTTGGGAAGTGGCAACTCCCTGCAGCTTAGAAGGAGCTGACCCACGCCATGCCCTGGGGGGTGGGTGGTGGTGGAGTCCTGCCCTCTCTCCAGTTTCCCATGCCAGCAGCTCCACCAGGCATCACTCCCCCTGCCCCCCACCGCCCGCTCAGTGGCCCCACACCCCCTGTGTTGCTGTTCCAACCCTCCCCTCCCAGGGAGAATTCCTACAGCAGAACAGAAGTAGGTTTGAAGGGACACAGGCAATTGACTGCTCTTTAACGTTCAGGGCATGACCAAGAACCTAGGTTTGGAAAAAAGGGGAGAGACCCCTGCCTGGGCAGGACCCAGGCACAGGAGGCAGAGCAGGACCTGCAGGTGACCTCACCTGCCCCACAGGGCCTGTGCTCAGTCCTTCCTCCCCAGCAGCTTCGGGGGAGGCAGGTCCGCATTCCAGGCTCTCCCCCACCTCCCTCCTGCCTTTTCTGGCTGCAAGTCAGAGCCTGTCTCAGGGAAAACAAGACAAAGGAAGTGGTTTCATGAGACCCTGGAACAGAATCCTCAAATCAACCATGAAAAATAGCAATAGAAAGATTATGGCCATTATTTGTCTCTGTAGGAGCCAGGCTGGAAATGGGCCTGGCTGTGCTCCTCTGAGCAGGTGATGGGGTTTGGACAAAGAGGAATGACTGCTAGAAATCAGGAGGGAGATCCTCCCAAAGGATGGAGGCCAGAGTCTTAAGGAAGAGGGCGTTTCCCAAGGGCCCCTGGCTTTGGTGACCCTGGAGCAAGGGTCACCAGCAGAGAGAGCCCTGCTCAGGACAGCAGCCTGGGTTCTTGTCCTGCTCCCCACTCTTGGAGGTGTAGCCTAGAGTGAGCCTCTAAGCTTCACTCTGACAACCTGCTGCCCAGGCCCTGCAGCTGGGTTGCTGGTGAATCCTGGCCAGGCTGTAGGGGAGGCTCAACAGGGGCAGTGGGCTTCCCAAGAAGCACTTTGTTCTCAGAAAGCACCCCTCCTGGGAGGACTGACGCCTCATGGGGGCTGCAGCCCAGCACCAGAGGCCCATCCAGCAGCGGTTCTCTCCCCACGGTCTGCAGGTGCGGAGGACGTAGTGATGGCGTTTTCCAGGTCGGAGACGGAGGACCGGAGGCAGTAGCTGCAACCCCGGTGGAACACCCTGGAAGCTGGCCAAGGCCAGGAGATCTGTGTGGACCTCACCGCTGAGTGGCAGAGGGTCATCTCCCCTCCCCCTGGCTCCCCACCCCACCCCACCCTGCCCCGCCCCACGGCCACTCAGCATCCTCGGGGGAGACACCAACGGTGTGGTCACGATTGGCTTAAAGGGACGGACTCATGATTGGCTGCAGGAAGAAACCTTTTTATTTTTAAATCTTGACCAATGGAAACCTTTTTATTTTTATTTTCTGACTATTATTTTAAAAAAAGAAAAAAAAAATTCGCGCCTCGGGTGTATGGCTTCCCAAGAAGCTCTCCGAGCTCTGGTGCTTTATTTGGGTCACTCTTTAGGAACATGAGGAGGTCCAATTGGCGGCTTAAACTGGAAAAGGATTTGATTGGCTGGCTAATGGGAACTTTTTTTTTTTTTCTTTTTTGATTGGCTGCAGGTGTTAGGCTGATCACAACAGCTCCTCTCTTTTGAATGTCGAAAACAGGGTTTGGGACATTGGTTGTTATATTTGACTTGAAAAAAAGAAAGAAAGAAACCAAGTGCGCTTTGCAATATTTATTACACAAAGAGCCTGCTGCTGTTTTCATGTGTTTTGTGTTTGCCTTCTACTGGTTTAGGTGTGTTTCGTTTTCCATTGGCTCACCCATGACTTCTGCCACCATGGGCCACCCACCAGCCCTGTGGTGGGTAGGCCCTCTCCAGTGAGGTCGGGGGGGGGGTCCACCTGGAGAGTGCATTTGCATTAATGACCACACCTGGCTTCATCAGCAAGGGGACCTCCCCCTTCAGGACCCCAAGCAGGATCCACAGCTGGAAAACAGCCCCCAAGGTTGTCCTGAATGAGCAGCCGAGAGCCTAAAGGAGACCATTCATCAGGATCACTTCCACGAGTTGGCAACCAGCCAGCCTCCCTCAGTGAGGGTGGAATCACTCACTTGCACCGTCCGGGCCTCTCCAGCCTGCCCTCATTGAGCAGGGAGCCTCTTTCCCTTCAGTCATCGTTCCCTCTGTAGCCAACTTCCTGAGATCTCATCTGGGCAGGAGCTGCTCTCAGCCCTAAGACCCCAAAACGTAGCAGAGGTCTCTGCCTGGGAGCCCAGAACCCACACCAAGGCCTCAGTTTGGCTTACAAGGCCCAGGAGGCCTTTGGCTTCATCCACCCCGCTCCCCCACCATCGCCCCCAGGCTCCTCCCTCAGTGTGTGCTGCCAGGGCAGTGGGTCCTGACCAGCCCCCAGAGGCCTCTCATCCGCGGCTGTGCCCTTCACTTCGGAAGGCTGTCTCCCCATGGCAGCTTGGAAGGAACAGTGTCATTGTTTATTTATAAAGTGCCCTTTGGGACAGCCGGCTGGGCCTTCACTGAACTAGTCCCACCATGCTGGCCCTCCACCCCGGCCCCCAGAAACACACTATAGAGCACTGAATGGTCTTTGAAGAGCTGCAGGAACCCCAGGTCTTCCCAGCTGCCCTCCTCCTCCCCTGAAGGTGGCCGTCCTGCTTCCTGCATCTCTCACTGGAGGGGAGTTTGGGTGAGGAGTTGAGAAGGTTGTGGGGCTGGGGAGGGGAAGTCTCCCCCCTTACCCCCCACACCCCCACCCTTGGAGGGCAAAGACAGCTGAGGCCTGCTTCTTGCCCCAGGGGCCCAGAGCCAGGAGAAGACACGCAGAGCCAGATTTCTCCTTCTCAGGACTCAGGGCGGTCGTGGAGCATGGGAGCCAAACGCCTGCATGTCCAGGGCCCGGGCCTGGGAGCCCCATGTCCATTCATGGTGCACTCTGAGCTTCCTCCGAGCCTCGCCCCGGAGGAAGGCTCAAGTGTCACAACCTAGATACCCACGTCCTCCTGCACACACAGGCCCCCGGCACTGGCCAGCTGAGTTAGCCTGCAAAGTCGATTGATCCCCCAGGGGACAAGGACTGTGGGCACCCTGACCGGGGCCCAAGATCATCTTCTTTCAGGAGGGGCAGTGTGTGGACACACATGTATGTGAATGTACACACACACATTCACACACACACTCTCTCACTCCCAGCTCTGTGGCCTGCAATTCCGACTGACCACCTTGGGAAAGGTGAGTTTTTGTTCAGTCACCCCACCACCACCCAGGGTTGTAACATCTGTCATCAGGCATCAGTTCTGATGCTGCTGGCCACCCCCTCTTCTAGTACTTGCGGCTCCCATAAAGGTGTGTTCCTCTCCTTGTCAAGTTCACGGGCCTCCCTCTTGTAATGACAGTGGCCCTGACCTATGTCATCTCCTGAAGAAGAGAAGTGAAAATGTTGCTGTGGGTTCATATCTCTACAAATATTTCTGCTGGAGAAAACAATTAACAATAAAGATTTTTAATAGTTGGGAGTGTGGACTGATTTCCCCATGTCACATGGACTCTGCCGCTGGGGCCCATCCCCGCCAAGGGAGTGAAAGTACCATGTTTGCTGGTTGAATTGTCTATGGTCTCGAGTAGAGCTCAGAGTTTGGAAGAATTTCCAGATCTCCCCAGCCCAGCTGACACATCTATAGGAGGGTGAGCCCCCTTTCTGACCTGGCGGTTCCAAGTTTTTTCCTGGTTGGGCTGAGGTCACAGCCGTCTTCAGACGTGAGCTCCCCATTCAGCAGACACTGAGCACCCCCTCCATTCTAGACACCCCAGCATCCTGTGTAATGGCAGTATTCTTAGAGATACTCGTAACAGGCTTCAATCCTGGTCCTGGACGATCCCACATGCCTCCGAGCAGCTGAGCAAGAGAAGCCACTGCAATGAGAAGCCCGAGCACCGCAACTGGAGAGTGGCCCCTGCTTACCACAGCTGGAGAAAGCCTGCATGCAGCAACAAAGACCCCAGTGCACACCCAAAAATAAAACAAGAAAAGAAAAAAGAATGCTTGTAACATAAGTCCAAACAGATTATCTGTCCCTTCCATTATCCCAGAAACAGAAGATTTGTTGGTATTCAGCTGTATATTCAGCTTTGGAAGCTGAAATCATTTCTGCTTGAGCAATTTTTGCTTTGGAAGCATTTTCTAGGATTTTTCCTTTCCACCCTTCATCGTCCCATTTTAGGTCTTTTTTTTTTTTTTTCCCTGCTTACATAGACTCAGCGCTTCTATTTCCTTTTTCGAAGAGTTTCACTGGGTGATGAATTCTATGAAGTTTACAGAATATGGGGACTGATGGCGCAGTCGACATCATCCAATCTTAGGGTTGGAAGAGGTGGAGCTTGTTGAGCAGTCATGTAACAGACAGCTGTGCGGGTTCCTCTGAAACATCTCTGGAAAGGGCTTCTGCGGCCTTTGCTTGAGTTATCTGTGAAAGTGAAAGTGCTAATCGCTCAGTGGTGTCCAATTCTGTAACCCCATGGACTGTCGCCCGTCATGCTCCTCTGTCCATGCAATTCTCCAGGCAAGAATACTGGAGTGGGTTGCCATTTCCTCCTCCAGGGGATCTTCCCAACCCAGGGATCAAACCTGGGTCTCTGCATTGCAGGCTGTCCCATCTGATCTACCAGGGAAGCCCAGTCTAGGGCTGTGGAACTCACTGCCTCATAAGATAGCCCTTTCTGCCTTCAGGTAATTTATGCTCAGCCTTGTATTGAGTTGGTCTGCCCTTCTCTGTAACTTCCGTTTCCAGGAAGGAAATTATAGTTACTGAGAGACCAAAAAAAGATAGCTGTGTTAGCTAAAAACGGCAGAGAGACACATACCAAGGGGTTTTTGTCAGGTAAATTATGTACAGAACCTCCCCACCCCCAGCCTGCGTCCTGAGTGGCCCTGTCGGTAATTAACCTTGGACTTAATCGGCTCTTTTAAGCTCGGCCATTGTGCAGAGGGAGGGGTTGGCTGGCCCGGTCCCACCTGCCTGGAGTCTGCTGCTGAAGGTGGGGAGGGAGGAGTCTCTCATAACTGCTGCAACAGGTGAAGGGGAAACATGGGCAGGAGTCTCTCTCGGGGTCCCTCAGCCCCCATAGAAGGCAACCTTCTGGGTTCAGGGGACCTTCCTCGTTCCAGGGGACCCTAACAGCGGGATTAGGGCTGCTGAGGCCAAGAGAGCTTGGGGCCACCTGAGCCTGAGAGAGGTCGGGGGGTGGCGGGATGGGGTGAGGAGGGAGGGCAGGGCACCTTGCCTTTTGTTGACGTTTCCCAGGACTGGGGAGAGGGTGGTGGAGAATGAATGAAACCTTCCCCCTGGCCCCACAGTGAATAGCACCTATGAGAGTCCAGGCTGCTCTGGCTTTTGAACAGGCCCTTTGTGGCAGGGAAAATGATCCCTTTGTGACACCTGGTTCAGTGGTGGCGGCTTCCGGAGCAGGGGAACTCTCTGGGCCCCAGGGGACCACCCATCCATCACCCACCTGCCTGCTCACATGGCCTCCCTCCCTCTCTCTCTGTCTCTTGCTCACTCTCTGGCTCATGGCCACCCACTCCTTTCCTGGAGGATGAACTAGGTCTAGACTAACCTGGGGCCATGTTTGTTTGTTGTTTTTGGCCGTGCTGCACAGCATGTGGGATCTTAGTTCCCAGACCAGAAACGGAACCGTCCTCACCTCTGCAAGTGAGTCTTAGCCACTGGGGAGGTCTCTGAGGCTGTGTTTAGAAAACACTTCTGGGAGTTCCCTGGAGGCTTACTGGTTAGGATTCCGGGCTTTCAGTGCAGTGGCCCCGGGTTAAGTCCCTGGGCAGGGAATAAAACAAACAAAAACACTTCTCCAGCCAATGAAGCAGCTTTCTCTTCTAGGGCAACAGCTGGTGTTCAGTGGACTTGGGGAACCATGACTGCTGGTCCTGATTTAAAGAAAAGTTAAAGTGTTAGTTGCTCAGTCGTGTCCCACTCTTTGTGACCCCATGGACTATAGCCCACCAGGCTCCTCTGTCCATGGAATTCTCCAGACAAGAATACTGAATTGGGTTGCCATTTCCTTCTCCAGGGAATCTTCCTGAGCCAGGGATTGAACCCGGGTCTCCTGGATTGCTG